TTTTTTTTTTTTTTTTTTTTTTTTTTTTTTTTTTTTTTTCAGACAGGATTTCTCTGTATAACAGCTCTGGCTGTCCTGGAATCATTTTGTAGACCAGGCTGGCCTTGAACTCACAGAGACCCATCTACCTCTACCTCCGAGTGCTGGGATTATAAGGTGTGCGCCACCTCAGAGGTTTGGTCTCCAGATGATGTACAAGTTCAAGAGATTCTGAAATTTTTTGGAGGTGCGGCCTTCGAGGGATGTAGTTCAGAGAGGCTAATTCTTGATCCAGCCCCTCCTGTCCTTCTCTTCTCCCTGCCTGCTACAACGAGAGCTGTCCTCCAGAACACACCACAGGGCCAGACAGTCATGGACTGTCTTCTCCAGGGACCCAAGACACTGGGGCCATCGGTCTAATGTTCTCGAAACTTACCCCACTCCCTTAAAAAACATCACTCAGCAGAATGGTTAGTTTTGATCCATTTATTATTTGTTTGCTTGTTTGTTTGTTTGTTTATTTAATGTGCTTTAGTGTTTTTCCAGCATCTGTGGGAGGGTGTCCAACCCCCCTCCCCATGGATTTACAGACAGTTGTGAGCTGCCATGTGGGTGCTGGGAATTGAACCTGGGTCCTCTGGAAGAGTGGCCAGTGCTCTTAACTGCTGAGCCATCTCTCCAGTCCCATGATGGTTAGTTTTAATTGTCAACTTTACATACTATAGAATCACCTGAAGGAATCTCGGCAAGGGATTGTCTAGACCAGGTTGGGCTGTGGGCATGTCTGTGACGGGGGTGGGGGTTGGGGGGAAGGTGGGGAGGTAGGGGGTGGGGTGGGGGATAGGAGCTCCTGGATTGCTAACTGAGCTGGGAAGAGCCAACGGAAAGGCTGGCAGCACAGCTCCCTGGTTGGGCCCCGCAGGGAAGGCTTGCTGAGCACCAAGCATGGGTGCCTCCACGCCCCTTGACTATGCCTGTGAGGTGACGGCTGCTTCAGCTCCCGTGAGCTGAAACAGTCTGTTTCTCCTTCAAGCCGCTTTTTGTCCGGGCATTTCATCACAGCAACGTAAAACGAAACAAGGAAGCCCAGGTGGGGACCCCTGTGGCTGAGAGCCCGGACGGGAGGATCTGTGCTCTGCGGCTCTGGTTTGGCCCCTCCTGGCCCTGTATTACTTTTTGCTGCCAACAACGTTAACGGGAGCTTCTGGAACTCTTTCCGCAGTGATGTGCCCCACCGCTTTTCAGTGTCTGCCTGAAGCTTGTTCCACTCGCTCTTCAGGGGTTGTTTGGTGGTGGCAATGTCGGCCAACTCAGAGGTGCTGGTGTCATGGGGGGGAGATGGAGATCCAGAGCGGGGTCCCTCTGTCCAGGCTGTTTGGAGACACTCTACGCCCCCCCCCTCGTTTTACACCACTGAGGCCTTGGTGGAGAGAGCAGGTCCTATCCAGCTGCTGCCCTGGGAGGCTGTTCTTGGGCCTCTCTGATTATTCCGTGTCTTTGAAATATCTTCATTATTCTTAGTCTTTCACTTTTCTTTAAACATTTTTCCCGCCACCTTGTTCCGTGAGTTCTATTGACATTTTGATTGGAACTGCATCACCTTTTAACATCATTTAGGGGAGCTGACATTCCTATAGTGTCGAGGCTTCTCTTTCATGCGCCAATATGGAGCCCCCTTTCCCTTGCCTCCTTCAGCGAGGCACTGATGTCCTGTCTCCCCTCCCTGCCCCCGTGGGCATGGCGGAGCGTTGAGGAGTTTTACTGTGAATATTTGCTTTTGTCTCGTTATTAGTGGGCTCTCTTTTTAGGTTGATATTTTTGTTTGTTGAAGCTAGAGAGATGGCCCAGTAGTTAAGAGCACTTAATTGCCCTCGTGGAAGAGCCAGCACCCACAGAGCGCCTCCTCACTACCCTCTGTGGCTCCGGCTTCAGGGGCTGGCACCCTCTCTGGCACATACACGCCGGCAAACACGATGACAGAGATAAAACCAATCTCAGGGTTCCCACTCGTCATCGCGCTCACACCGTGCAGTCATGTGGTGACGTCCTTCCAGCAAACTCATGAGCTGAAGTTGGAAATGGTTCAGCATTTATTCGCTCACACCTTACAGAGTCGGTGTGTTCGTGAGCACACACGTC